AACAACCAAACACCCGCCGATCGTAAATACCCCCTTTTCGCGTTGCGGAGCACGCGGGTCACCCTAGTAGTCACTATTCGATGTACCTACCCATTAGCAACGCAGGCCTGCAGTGGACTTATTTTTTAATGCTGTACAGTGGAATCTGCTTAATAAATCCTCGAATAATAAATCCAGCCGCTTATTGTGGCCGCTTGAGCCATAGGCGGCGGAATGGGGAGGGCACCGGGGCACCGTGTCCCCTTTTGATTTTGGCATTTTAACATGAGCCCTATTGGGCGATGCATGGAAAGAATGGGACCAAAAGTCGGCAGTGCCCACCCCCCCCCCCCTTAATTGAAGGTGTTCCGCCGCTACTGGCTTGAGCTGTTCCCGGATTTTCTCCATAGATATCCATAGTTTATCAATCCGCTTAATAAAGTCATTTTGGAGTTTCGAAGTCTGCAGTGACGTCTCCTGACTCGAAATGTGGCATGGCATCCAACCCGCTCCTTAACTAAGGTCCGCTCCTTAACACTTAACTAAGGTCTGGTCACAAAGTCAAATAGCCCTCTAAAAAAAGATGTGGTCCTTTAACCGTATAACTTATTTCCTAGAAGTTTGAAATTTTGTGTAGTGCAAGTGCAGGTCTGCGGGATCGGAGCCGGATTTTGACAGCTCGTCAGCTTGACTTGACAGCTCTGGCCAGAGTCGGAGCTGGAGTCACCGGGCGAAGTCGTTTGTACTTCGACTCCGAAGTCAGAGTCGACATTCTCTGGCTTGAAGTCATGCTCATTGCTCTTAACTGGTTAGTCGAAATTTATGAAGCCGTTTTAGCCGATCGTGGGCAGGTGGGATAAGAGCTGTAGGTTCTGTTGACCGTTGTGACTGGTGGACGGTGGTTGTATCAGTAAAGAGGTCAGACCAATATAGGCCCACACTGAGTATTCAAACCTCCTGGACCCTCTCATACCACACACCGTTCCGTCATTTCTATCCTCAGGACAGTCAAATCCCTCTCCTCCACGCCTCAACTCCTTGTTCCGGGCTGGACGGGCAACTTTATCCCATGCGGGAACCCCCGATAAGAGCACGACCGTAACCGGGTGCGGTGACTGGTGTGTGCTTGGGGTGCTGGTCGGCCTGCCCTCTGGACGGGCTCAGCCTCGTCGACTCATCAGGTTGCTCGCCCAGTCCAAATGTCCCCCCTCGCCCTCCCCCTAATTCCCATCTCCTTCCGGCTCTGAAATGGTCTCGTCAGACCGAAAAGTCCTAACCCAATAAAAAAAAAATCCCAGACCGTGGCGAGGTCCTCTGACCTCTCACACCAGCATCAGGTACTCTAAGGTCATGGTGAACTGGTGAGCCCCTTCGGCTGTCGTTTTTTGTTTGTTTGTTTGTTTGTTTTGTTGGGTTAGGCCCTTTCGGTCGACAAGACCATTGCAGAGCCGGAAGGATGATAGGAATTAGGGGGAGACATTGGTCTGGGCAGGCACCCTAGTGAGTCGCCGGGGCTGAGCCCGTCCAGAGGACAGGCCACCCAGCCCCAAGGCACTCACTGCACCCCAAGGCCATCTATAGAAGGTACAGTCACTCTCCCGTCGACCAATCAGAGACAGATCCTGAGTGACGTCACCCCTGATGCTCGCAAGGGGTACTCCATTCCTTTCAACGTAAAAATGACTAATTTCATTTGAAGATTATTGATGGCACTCTACACATACCGCTCAGCCATTGATGTCAATGGAAAACCCAACTAATTTTCCAGCGACAAAAAAGAGCAGCAATATGCTAAGAAATGGCCGGTTTTGAAGATATAGACGATTTAAAAACCCTCTGCAGCAGCAGGAAAGCAACGTAAAAACGCACCGAGCTTATATTTTTACTTTGGATAATTCATTTTTCAGTAAGTTTTTAGATATGGTATAGATTTGAGTTGCAACTTTATTACAATATTTTCATTACTTGAAACTTTATTTCAAAATAATATTTTCAAAAATGGCAGCTGTTGGCCAGTAGCTTGGGAGCGATTGTGGCGCACCGCGCCATTAATTGTCCTGAGGCCCCCTTATGATGTCATCAAAAGTGGAGTGACGTGGGCCTGCTGCACCCGGCTACGGGGTGCGCTCCCTCGGGAGCAGCGGTGCCGCTCCAAGGGAGCAGCCCGCATGAGATAAAGTTGCCTGTCCAGCCCGGAGGGGGGTTGCGGAGTGGAGGAGAAGGACTTCAGTATCCTGAGGATAGAAGCACGGAACGGAGGGCTGTCGTTTTGCCTAGCACGGGAGGATGGCCGTTTAGAAGTGGGAGTCTTGCTTGAGTATTGTGAATATTCGAATGTGTGGCTTATGCAGCTGTCACCCCACCCAGAGGACCGAACTTCAGCCTTTGGTGGGTGTACGGTCCACAGCAGAAGTAATGTGGGGTTTCAGTCATGGGTATGTTCTGCTTATGAAGCTTAGGAACGATTAGCCAGACTACAATGAAACTTTGAATGTAGCTTAGGTATATGTATCGTCACCCTTGCAGCTGCAACTTTAGCTATTGACATCTTCTTTTCGATCACTCCGCATTTAACAATCGTCAGTCAAAGCCAACCGTTGAGATTGGTAAAACCCTACATTACTTTAGCGGTGCAGGCTGTACCTGAGCCGCTGAAGTGGGTGAGTTCTCAGTTGTACCGTCGAACTGACCAGCATCAGTAGGTATTCTTTTAAAAATGGTTTATTTCTGTTTACATGACTCCATTTTGAATGACCGTTGCAAATAGTCACTTTTGAAATCCTTTATGGCCGATTTTTTTTGAGGGGACGTCCCCCCGGATTCATCGACTGCCGGCGGGCGTCCCCCGTCCCCCCGCTTTCGACGCCCATGCTATCTATAAACACTCTCAAACATCGGTTTATTGGAAAACATGACACACCCGAATATTGCACCCGTTACCCCTTTGTGTGACCCTGAGGTTATCTCAGGTCATGAAGGGTCACCAGCAGTTTTTTTTTTAACTATTTCTTTTGAATTGATATAAGAGACGACAGACGTGCTAGAGCGGTAAAACATGTCAGATGTGTTCAACTCGGCGATACGGATCAACTAATATGCAGCATGACCCTTTCCGGTCAGGCCATGCCCTGACCCGAGGTCAAATTTTCCAAATGATCTTAGAAGTCCGAATTTCATTCGACGCGACTCGACGAGGGGAACACGTTGCTGGTAAAAGTAATGTCGTGGCTCCCTTCAGTCAAAATCTGTTACCTAAAACTTTTTTTTCGTATAAACCAGGGATGTGGAGCCGTGGAAATTTCAGACGGTCCGGCTCCGGCTCCGGCTCCGAGTAAAATGGTCCGGCTCCGGCGGCTCCGGCTCCTTCTCAGTAGGTGCCTCCCCTATGCGATTAATTAAATACCTACGGGTGGAAGAGAAAGGGAGATTGAAATTGGATTGGTACACGTTGCCTCTGTATTTGCATAACAAGGCTAGTAATTTGAATAGTAAATACCACATGGCCTTGTATGTACTGTCAAACCGAACTAGGTCAATAATTTTTTCTTCTTAAAAAAGAGCCGGAGTCACCCCCTTTTTTGACGGCTCCGGCTCCGGTTCCGGCTCCGGGCTATATTGTTTTACGGCTCCGGCTCCGGCTCTGGGCAAAATATGCCGGGTCCGGCTGCTCCGGCTCCGGCTCCGCACCCCTGGTATAAACGGCTATTTTTATATTTTTTGCCCTCTGGAACATGGAATATATCACATAGGACAGGAAAAAGGTTAACTGTGAAGGAACGGGAGGAGCTGACGATGATAAGCGCGATCTGACGGTGAGATGAAGATCCTTGCGGAGGCTTGGTTACGGGGATAGTGGACACTTCACGACTTATTAGGCACTTCTGGTGTGAAAACAAAGGGCAATTAATAAACCCACTTTCGGTATAGGTCTCCAATCTCCATTATCGACACTTCAGCCTACCTACATACGTGCCGCGCTTGGATACGCTGCAATGCGTCTTCATGTCATATGTCAGGTTTGTAGTGGTATCGCAGCGATGTCGCTACCAGCAGCTACGCACCTCCGTCTTGAGGATGTAAGGTCATTATAGGGATGCCACTGTATAGAGACTCAGTGATGTCATACAATTCCGTCACTTATGAACCGTACGTGCCACCACCTATCGGACAGCCATTGAACTAATAGTTTACAGCTTGTACAACAGATGTCACTATTTTGGATGATACGGTCTTGGATGCTGCGGTGCTAAAAATGTTTTTTGGATGATACGGTTTTGGATGCTGCACCCTTGGATGTTTCACTCTTGGATGCTGCAATTCCTCGTCCTTGGTTGCTGCCAATTTGGATGATACGATTTTGGATGCTGTGGTCCTGGATGTTGCAATTTTGGATGTTTCGCTCTTGGATGCTCTGAATCATCCCTAAGGGGTCGGTTTTGGATGTTATTTGGACGTTTTGATCGCTGGATGCTAAGGTTTTGGATGTTGCGTCCCTTGGATGCTGCGCTCTTGGATGCTTCAATACTCACCCAAATCAAAACTATTTTTAAAGCATGTTATATTATTTACCCATTAAAACAACGTACTATGATGCCTTGCTATTAACAGCTTGAATGGTTTTGAAAGAGTATTCACGGCAATTACAAATAAACCAACATGTTTTTTTTTTTGAAGCATTTGTAGTATTTTGGTCCATCTGTCTTTGTCCTTATGGCTTTTTGTGATTTTTATTTTGATTGTTGTTTCGCACGGGGAATAAGTTTTGTCCAGCAACTTCGACAAATCCCGCGTATGTGTTACAAAATGATCAAAACATTAGGCTACTAAATTGTTGCAGTGTAAATAAACTCAGGAACCACGTGCCCGCACGTGCTCTACCCTTTCGCGCCCGAGAACAATTTAGGGGTTGGGTTCTTTGTTTCTCAAAGCTTCGGGAGGTGAGCTGTGACGACGTGGTGCTGGAGCGGGGAGCGTGAGTAACTTCCTTGTCGTTGCTCTTTTTACCGACAGTGGCTAGGGTCTGGCTGAACTCAAACTATGCGTTGCAATTGTTGGCATTTTAATTTATATATGTCTCATTGCAATTTGCAATTGGTACAGATACTGATAAAGGAATCCCGATAGGGGATCCGGTCCTCGACCCTCTGCCCGACCCCGGACACCCGGCCTGTCTCCCACCCCAAATTGGGGGAGCATTCTGGTCTAGGGATAAGTTCCTTGCCTCTAGGTTCAGATTCGGCCATCCGGGTTCAGGTTCGATTGCCTGGCAATGCACGTTGCATTGTCACTGCCTGACTGGTGACTGCTTGGAACAGTGTGAGAGTTCCAGTTAGGGTATTGGTAGAGCAGACGTCACACGAAGGTTTTCCAACCGAGGAGAGGCGCTATGCCTGGAGGTACTTCTTTCTAACAAAACCTAAACAAACCTAACTTAACCTGACCTAACCTAACCTACAACCTACAACCTACAAACCTACAACCTAAAAGCCTACAACCTACAACCTACAAACCTACCCTACAACCTACAGCGCCTCTCCTTGGTTGGAAAACCTTCGTATGACGTCTGCTCTACTAATGCCCCAGTTAGTACACCTTATTGTTATTCTGCTTGATTTATAACATTCATTTCTGAAATAATTGGTAAAAAATCACAAATAGAATTATTATAAGTAATAATCATGTAACTTGATATCGCATGATGTGCCATCAAGTGTGCAATAAAGTAGAAACCCTTGTTGTAATATGAAATGTGAATAGGATACCTAGCCATAATGCAGGCATCAAACTTGTTTTTTTTGTAACCAAGGAGAGGTGCTATACCCAGAGACACTTTCAAATCAAAATCAGACCAAACCAAACCAAACCTAACCAAACCTTGCCTTACATTAACTTCAATGAACAACCTAAAGACTACAACCTACACAACCTAAAATGTACTACCTAAAACCTACAACCTACAACCTAAACTTGAACTCCAGTGCCTTTCCTTGGTTGCAAAAAAGTGTGGCTCCTGTTTTAATACTACCACGAATAGTTCTGTTTAAGGGATTTTATGTGATCACACTTAACAATTAATAGTTTTTTGGCTCTTGTTGACATGGATAGGGGAGAAAATATGTGGCAACCTATTGCATCTTAAGCCACCTTTTTATAGCCATGGTGCCATTGTGCTTGCGCATCATCAACTTCAACTTACTGTTGTTGTGTTGGCCATTGGGCAATGCAGAGAAAAATCCTGACCATATGCTCTCATGGCCTCTGGCTAGACTACAAAGCATGACAACCTCGATAAATGATATCCAGGCTGCATTCCTCACTGTCTCAGCTGGCAAGGGTTAACCAAACAGTTGTTGATTTTAATTAGCATAATCACTTGACACCAATTATAATTATCTATAGCATGCTGCCACATGCTCTGATGCACAATTGTTGCCAACTCTCCTTGACCGAGGTCATTTATTTGCAGATCTGAGCCTGCCATCCAAATCTGTAAGCGATGGAGGTGGGCGGTATGATTCTGGTCTGCATCGGCCTGGCTGTGCTCATTATAGTCACCCTGCTGGTATTCCTCGGACACCTCGGACTCTTCAGCGAGGTCGAGGTCAAAACGGGCGCCCCGCCGTTCCGCGAGCTGACGGTCTGCTACAAATTCAACCGCGGACCCTACAAGGGCTGCGGCCACCTCTTCACGGAGATTTACAGCATCGCTCCGGAGCTAAAGACCATCGGGTTATATTACGATGACCCAGAGGCAGTAAGTCTTTCTTGACATGTTTTTTTTTTGCTTTCTTTAGATTTTGAGAATAAATGGTGCACTTGCAATCTGTTGTGACATTACATCTTGCTATTTTCCCAGCATATTACCTGTCAGATTACTCGACGCTGCTTCTGTTTTTCGTATGTTTCTGTGTTCGTGTCTGCGAATTGGGACATCGTTGAAATGGTGGGAATGATGAGGATACCCTGCTGCCAGTTTCTGAGCCTTGGCAAGTTGTCGATGCGGACCTTGTTCCGAGCCGACCAAACCACCCACCCCCTCACACTCCCCCCCCCCTACACCCGTAATCAGTAATCCCGTACCCCTGTCCCTGATGCTCCCTGTGCCCCACTGCCAGACCGACCTCCATACATGACATATGTGTTCGCCGTCCCTCAGGTGAGCTCGCACGAGCTGCGGTACGCGGTGGGTGCCATTCTCAGTGACGGCGTGACGCCGGAGCCGGCCGGCATGCGCCAGCGCGTCGCCCAGCACGGCTTCCAGGTGGCCACCTTCCCGGCCATCGAGCACGCTGTGCTGGCGTCGTTTCCATTCCGGGCCACCTTCTCCATCGTGCTGGCCATTTGGAAGGTCTATCCGGCGCTGAAGGAGTACATCAAGGTACGATACTGGGTGGAGAGGTCTGGGTAGTGAGTCGTAATGACTGATTCATCCTTATGCGGCGAGGAGAGTCTGAGTCAGATGAACATTCCAGTCTGCATGGGTCACAGGGGCGTAGTCCGACCCTGTTACAGCTGGTTGATGGTCGGACCCGTTTCCTGTTTACAGTTTAACTAGTCTCGAGCGTTGTCTTGCACTCCGTCTTTTACAGAATATGACACTTGCCCGGTGTCTCGCTCATCTGAACTTTCTCACAGTCTGGCCATGTGGCGTTTCCAACCATGTCAAGCCACGCTCAATAACTCAGTCTGACCGACAAAGCGCGCATTCTGTCCCACGCTGTCTAACCAGTGTCCCCATACGCAGCCTCATAGGTCCCATAGTCTGACCCAAGGTCCTAAAAACGGTCTGTCCCTTGCCCCCACACGCACGCAATCTGACCTGTGACTCTCCAGTCTCCCACGGAGTCTGACCCATCTGCCGCTCGGTCCCACAGAAGCAGAGTCTGTGCGCGTGGCCAATGATCGAGCTGTACGACTCGTCCGAGATCCGGTTCGTGGCGCCGCTGACCCGTCAGGAGGATTTCCTGGTGCCTGAGGCCACCGAGGAGCCGGCAATGGACTCGGACGGACGGCTTACCACTGAGGATGAGGGAGAACGCTCCGGCACTGAAGGTATGTCAACAGTGAACGGTTCACGACTGTCTAGTGCCTGTGACCTGGGGCTTCGAAGGTCGGTGAGAGGGGGAGGAGTGTGCTGCAGGAGAGATAATAGAATGAACTTACCGATGAGTAGAAGATGGGTGCAAAGAGTGAAAGTGGAAGATAGCTGATGCGTGTGGTCAATGTTCAGCTCGAATGTAAACAAAGCCTGGAACAAGTGTTTTGGTTTGCGAGTGTCACTTGCCTTTAGAGTGATGACAACTGCGGATGCATCAAACAACCGTGTTTTGTATCGTAGCGTGTGTGGCGTTACGAAACCTTTTTTCTGTTTGATAGTCGTATCATCTAACGGCTGTATGTTTGGCGACAGGCGGCGGCGAGCGGCCGGTGGCGGCGGCTGCCAGCGGCGGATCCTCGGGCTCCTCTTCGTTCGAGGACCTCGGCCTGACTGCCGGCGGTGACGCCCGGTAAACACACCGCCCCGGACGTGTGTACCGCACCTCTGACCGGGTCTAGCGGTGCGCATCGGCCCATCCCCGGCGCCTGTCCACGACCTGGGACCGCTGGGAACGGATCTCCGTCTTTCCGCTCGGCTTTCCACGGCCGCTGTGAGCGCGGCGTTAACTCGCGGTGGTGGGTGCTCGAGCTGCGACCTAGTGCACTGAGGGGCTCGTGGAGCTTTCAGGAGCTGCTTTCATCAGCAACTTTGTGCTTTCAACACCAGAAAACATGCCCCGCTAACATTCCGTCTTAGAGTGCAATTACGATGATAATCTACGAAAACATGCTACATCGCCTACTGCGCTGTTTTCTGCCATTCCCCACCCTGTTGCCGATATTACCATAGTAGGTAGCTGCTGAAGCTGGTGGAGGAGCTCTTTATTCCAAGAAAATGTCTTCAAAAACAAAGCTAGGATGTTAGGCTGTTCACTAACGACATAAACCCTGTAGTTGCGCATTATTGCATCGCTAACAGCCCATATTCAAGCGCCGGCGAATCACCAGTTTTACTGCTGCTCGTTTTCGTCTTGTGTATCGACATCATCATGTAATTGTAAAAGCTGAAGGCCAGTAGTGATCGGCCTTGCTTTAATAAAGCCCTAGAGAGATACGCTATTTTTAATTCGGCACTCGACTCGGTTCTGTCCACACAAGAACCTTCTCAGTTCTCAGTTCACAAGAAGTTCTCAGCGAATTGCCCTGCGCGCGAAGTCACGGAGGGTTGGTTGTTTTGGATTAAGCACCAATCGCTAACCGGACGGAACTCTCACGCTGTTCCAAGAGGCCAGGTTGCGGCAGTGCCACGTCCATTGCCCGGGAATTACGAAGTCACGAAGGGACCCAGTCAAGATAATTCCGGGATGAACGGGGGGGGGGGAGGGAGAGGGAGATGAAGAGTTAGAAATTACGGAGACTGTCTTTTGCGAGCCCTGGGCATCCGACTTGGCTACCATACCATGCATCCTTAAACTTCGTTATTATTTTTCATTTACCTATATCTGCCTCGAAACTGCAAAGGTTGTCAGTGTTTTGGTTCGCCCGCTGTCTGCTGAATGCCTGATAACACACCACACTGTCAAAACATCGCGTACCCCCCCCCCCCCCAAAGATCTATCTGATCTGTTCCGGTCTCTACCCAGTCAAACACCGCCTCCTCCCCATTCCAAAAGCCAACATCAGCCAGTCCAGTATATTCCTGTTTCACTTGACAGATAACAGACCAGACCGGGGTCGGAGCGACTGACGAGTCGTGACCTTTGACGGGTCACCGCGGGGGCGCGCGGCGCCTAGCTCAGGTCCTTGTCGAAGATGTACTCTCCCAGACCGTTTCCGCAGCGCTTCAGACGGGTTATCATGGCGCCGATCTCCTTGATGGACTCAACCTGCCGGAAAATGGACGCCAGTTAGATGGGGGTCACCGAACAGATGGCGTATCATCATTGGTCACGAGCTTCAGTTAGTTTATCGTTCAATAACCAGACCCAGACGCCTGGGCGGTCCGCATCGGGAGTTATTGATCGAGTCTGGCCTTGCCCTTGCCACCGTCCATCGAACCGATAGAGAAATAAAATACGACAGACGGCATTCGTAGCAAATGAATGCTGTTTTCGGGAACAGCACAGATGCTTCACTTCCACGGACGGCAAATTACATTTCGTACGAAATCGGCATTTTATGACGGTGGCATACGTTCCCCCGACTCAGTCGTGGGATGAACTCGAAACATACCTGTTCGGTGAGGAACTCGCTCTCGATGAAGTCGCACATTTGCGGGTCGGTGTGCGAGTCGGCCACCTTGTGCAGGTTGAGCAGCGCCTGGTTCACAGACTTCTCCAGCTCGAGGGCCGCCTGGAGTGCCTCCAGCGGCGAGCCCCACTGGTCCTGAGCTGGCTTCATGATGGGCTGGAGCAGCACGCGGCCGCCGCGCTGATTCTGGAACTTCATCAGCTTCTCGGCATGTTCGCGTTCCTCGTCTGACTGCTTCTTGAAGTAGGCGTGGAAGCCCGGGAGTGCGACGTCGTCACGGTCAAAGTAGGAGGCCTGGGGGAGCAGAGACGGTGACAGGGTGTGATACAGAAGTTTCGTGTTCGGCTCGCGAACGACACGTGTTGGGTGTCCGAGTCGGAGCGAACCCGGTTGTCATCGAACACTGGGGGAGTCGCGTTACATCCTGCCGAGATTTCGGAACATTCCGCTGTCGATGGTGTGCCCACAGATCATTAAAACTAGAAAACCGCAAGGGGCGACGTGTTCGATTCTTTCCCTGATGGCCGATACACTGTCGCATGCGCAATACTGATCTTCCGATACGGCTGGGATTTTCCCTCTGCAGATCCACCAGATGGGGTCTCGGGTGTCACATTTTCCTCTCTCTATCCTAATCGGTTCCATACGGACCTGTTTTGCCGACCCCAGTCAGTCCGGTCGCCTGCTGAGGGTGACCGGCTGAGACCGTTTTCCGCTGGTCGGTCGGCCAAGGCCGGCCGGGCGGGCCGCGTGGCGCAGCAGGCGGCTCAGCCGTGCGCACTGCGCAGCGCCCAGCGGCACGGCATTGATCGGCCCACGGCGGCCATAAGCGCTCCCAAAGGACAGAGGGAGCCACCAGGCCCGAGACACCTCATCGGCTCCTGACAGTGACGAGCAAGGCCTACAGCTGGAGAAAAGCTGTTTAATAATGATACTGGAAACAAGATTTAACGCCTCTCACCATGGACATGTAGGTGTAGCTGGCAAACAGCTCCATGTTGATCTGTTTGTTGACCCCGGCCTCGGAGTCCTCGTGGTAGTTCTGGCGGCACTGGCTGACGGTGGCCATGGTGTTCTACTGGGTTATGACTGCTTCTGATGGAAGGCTGAACTACGCTGTCACAGGCTGGACGGCTGAAAAGAGGTGGCGGAATAGTACGGCTGCTCGGACGTACACTGACGACGCGAAACAGACTGGCGCGCCGCCGCTCGGCGTCCCCTATTTATACCTGCGGTCATGACGTCATCCCGGCGGCTCCTGATTGGCTGCCCCGGGGCTGATCGGACCTGGTTGGTCAACACGGCGGGCGGAGGGCAGCGCTGCCAGGTCGGAGGAGTTTCTGCAGATTCACTTCCTGAAAAGTTTCCTGTCGGGATTTGCCGCTATATCCAAAGTTGAAGGCGGTTTCTCTGAGAACCATTTATCAGTGCAAAACGTCTTCCACTAGGCACCATTAGAGCTGGTTCGGTCTGGAAGGCATAACTTTAGGCCCGATGGCATGTCCGACCTCGCTGCGGCTGATGATCCCCAGTGTGGGTGCCACTTATGTATATATCACACAATGCAACGCACAATGGAAGTCCTTTAGTTAGACAACATGCACAGTGCACAAAAATCGCGACGGATGCGGGTCCCGAATTCGCTCTGGCTCTCCCCATGCTTCCCCTGCGTACACTTTCCCTAGCTCTGCGACAATCACGCCAATATGTCTCCAGATCTAGCGACCACCCCAGACGTCCGACCTGGCAGCACAGCTGAACCACGCGGTGAGGTGCGTCATAGCCGCGGGGCGGGCCGAGACCGCCCCGAGGATAACGCCCAGTCATCGTGAGCGGTGCGTGTTGCGTAGTACGGGTCGGCCGCGGCACGGGACGCGTCTGGAACATCACAGACGGGCACTGCAACACGAGCGGAGACACGTAACGGTACGGGGAAATGACCGGCAGTGGATGGAATACCAAGACACGACTAAAGGAGGAGAAACGCAATGAGGCTCGTACTTCCCGGAGCGCGTATTTGCGATGTTACAACATCTGCTTAACCCGCGAGTTGCTGGGGGGGGGCGTTAAACGCCCCCACTTTTTTCGCCGGGCCATAGCATAAAAACGGCGCGCCGCAGGCGCGCCAAATTTTGGCTACCTGTAGGGAATTGATTGAAGTTTATTCTGCCAAAGTTTCAAAAAAATCGATCGGAAAATTTTTGAGATATCGAGGTTTTAGTGACGTCATGATTTCTGAGTTTTCGACCAAAAACGGCATATGTTCAAAAAATCATATAAAATCACAGAATAGACATACAGACATGCCGTAAACGCAATTAGACTGCCAATACCATGCACAATCAGATGGCTATCTTCGATTATTGATTATCGTTCCGCATTTTCCAAAATCTCGAACTGAATCTTGGCAATTTCTCGTGACTACTTCACGACCATGATACATGCATTTCTTAAATTGAACTGTTGAGCCAAACACGTACACATATGATAAAATGAATGTCACCATCGTGTTCTACGCCCCAAATTACCCATAAAACATGTGTCACAGGCTGCGAATATCAGTTTTGATTTTCGGTGATATGTGCCTACCCGGTTGACCTGACCTTGACCCTGACCTATGCTTGATTGACCCCTACATGGAGCTGACACTCTTGTAGGCCTTATATGATGGATTGTGCACTGTTTTGACAGAGTTTATGACGAGAGGCGCCCATTGCGAAGTCCTGAAATCCATGCTACTGAAAGCCCGATTTCAGGTGTTTGACCTGACCTTGACCCGACCTGTGACCTCAAAATTCAACTTTAAAGTACTCATCTGAAGCGTCTCGTCGCGTTCTTTCGTTTGCCGCCTCGTGCGTTTCGCTGCGCCTATTGGTTCTCGAGTTATCGGCTGGGGGCGTTTAACGCCCCCCCCCCCCAGCAAACGGTGGGTGGCGAAATACCCCAGCAACTGCCGGGTTAAGAAACAGGGCCATGACCACAGGAAATGACGGTATATAGTCATACAAGGCTGATCGTACATCACGATACCTCGGCAGTCGGCATCCGACGCGTCATTTGCCATGATTTGAACACATGTGCTCGACATATGGGGGGCTCATCCGCATGACACCGCCAAACACCGTTTATCGAAGCCACTGTCACTTTTGTCGCACTCCTATCTATGTTATTGGAAACGATAGGGATACGACGTGCATCCCCAGATAACTTCATGGAAACCTGTCGATGGTTGACGACTCCCGTTTCTGCGTACATCGCTCGACCGTCACCGGGAACGGCGCAGTCGCGCCTGTCCTCCTTCAGAGGTGACCTTTACATTATCTACGCCACACAGCACGGACTTCTACACGCACGTGCATTTCACCACGCCGGACTGGAATACAAATGACATGGTAATGCGGTCACTGACATGGATCTGCATACCCACAGCGTAAAAAAGCAATCACCCTGAACATAACTGAACCACGTCGCAGAGGACGTGACAACACAATAAGACAAATGGTGTCGCCGATGATATGTGAAGAACAGTGGATATCACAGCGGTCTAAACCGCGCAGAGCTTCACACATGCCACTGGTGACTAGATCATTACCCACCAATCCTTCATCTCCATCCACTTCAGCACTGGTGAGCTAGTTCCGCAGACAGATCGAGCATCGCTTCAGTATGACACATTGGAACCAATACGCTTAGCAAGCGTGAGAAATGGCTACGAACGAACACTATTACAGAGCTCAATCGAATTCATGGCTAGCCAGAATGACGGGATCACTGGCTCACAAAGTCGCTTTCAATGACACTCAAACACACATCAGCCAGCTGAAATGGAGGCGATTCTCAAGGCAAGTCTAAGGGGAAAATGATGATCTGAAACTTTAAGGAGCTCTTATGCTTCCGAGAATGCAATCGAATGCTTCCTAACATCTAAAGCCCCATAATCAATTAAATAATCGAGGAAAGGCCTACCGTGACCTAACAGTCTTTACACTGATAGTGGTATTGATCTTATTTAAATATTGAGTTTAACACGTAAAGAAGTATATGCGTAAGCTGAAATATACCTATTCGTAAATCTGGTACAGATTGGGTGAGATTGTAAGAAGTAATCGTCGCAAAAACCCGGCCCCTGTAATACGGAATGACATTTCGCAAGTTAAAAAGTTAAGCTACACGATAAATGCACTCGAGAGAGACAAACATGACATCCTCACGCAAAATCCGCCACATTGCGTCACAAGACGCCCCGAATGAGACACTGGGAGTCCCTTGGCGTTGCTGCCTCTCGGAAAGGAACGGATGTCGTCACTGGAAGTGGACACGTGACCCGACTTCCCCGTCTCTGCCCCGGAACCCTGCTATCGGCTGCAGTCCATCCGCTGTCTGTGGTAATGCCACACCACCCACGATGACCACTTTCCCGCCGGACGGCTTCAATACTGCTTCAGACACTGCGATAAATACACAAAATCACCAGAAGGAAAAACATCACCCCGATACACCCCCACTTCGTCTCCATACCTGGGATACTATTCGCGCCCCGTGGCAAAGTCCGGAAGGCAGCGGGTGTGTTACCTCGTTCACCACGTCTCACAAGTTTTTCACCGCCAGACGAACGTCGAGCTTGGCGCTGTGATCGGCCAGCGTGCGCCGCATCTGCGCCGCGAACTGATCCCGAATGGAGCCGAACTCCATAATATCGCGCGGCTTAGCCGCCAGCCAGAAGGCGTCGAACTTGAAGAAGAGGTAGCAGTAGAACCGGTGGAAGGCGGTGACGGTGGCATGTCCCGCGCAGGCGTTGTAGAAGTGCGAGCGCGCCTGTCCGGAGCGGACCAGCTGCAGCGCCAGGTGCGTCAGGTTGATGCCGACGATGGCGAACGAGTAGCCGTAGGTGGGGTGGTGTGAGTGCGTCAGCACATGGCGCGCCACCGACGTGTAGTGCTCGCTGAAGAACCTGGGACACACAGAGGAGGGACGGGGATGGTTACACGGCGGCATTGACATCCAGAAACTGCTACACTCGATGTCGCTGAATTTACATGTGATACGGCAATACTGGCGTTCGCACCGGTCTTACTAGTCTGTCCAGAAAAAAAAAACAGCACAGGTCACGTCGGGTCAAGTCAGGTCAGGTCACTGCTTTTATCCCAAACCCTTCTAAACATCAACATCTAGCGTGACCTTCGATGGCCGTGACTTTGTCCCAAACATGGCCTTATATCGCCTGTGCTGGATTCTTGGACTTACGACTGTGTCATTCGACTTATCGTCGGGTCCTAAATTCATCGAATACGGCAAGGTTCCACTCGAATTGTTCCAGCGAAATTGGCTCGAAATCACTAGCTAAATAAACATCACGTCACCGTTAGCAAACGGCCGAATTCATTACAGTTTTATGATAGGTGGGGACCGGTCAGGGCCATTGGCCAATAGTTAACGATCTTTGTCCGGTAGCGAAGGCCGACGAGTCACACCACACACATGTGGTCAGCAGCCGGGGGAGGGGGGGGGGGGGGACACAGGCTCCTCTCGCACACATGTGGTCAGTGGCACGCGGAATGGGGGGGGGGGGGGGGCTGGCTCCCCACATACACACGTGGTCTGGTCGTAGCCCGTGGGGATGGGGAAACGATCCCCCGGAACACGGGTCGCGGCAGCCCCGCCATATACCGACCTCATTGCAACATTTCAGCGTTTCAGACATTTCTCTTGGTTCAAAAACGTAAAATAATCATAAAAATGGTTAAAAGCAATGGACCTCCATCACTTTAATAATTATCGTTCCTTGGTCGAAAAGGCACTGCGAAGAATGGAAATGAATTATGAAATGACACAGCTAACACACAAACCAAGATGAAACTACGGACGTCATTACGGTATAATCAGACAAAGGAACTCCAATCGGCTAGCAAATGAGCTTGTCTGATCGTAAGGGGCCACGGCCCCGAGGCGGCCTCAACTGTCCTGTCCCCGTGAGGCAGGAGTCGGTCGGCCAGGGGCGCCCGCTGCTCAGCCCAGCCCAGTATTGATTGAGCCTGCCCAACCGTTACTGCAGCGTAACGCGGTCCCTGGTGACGGCTCGGTAACGCTGGTGTCACAGCTCCTGGTAACCGCTACCAAGTGCGACACCGGAGTTGACCCAACACAGGCATGCAGCCGTCAAAAACCAATATCCCAGCTCGGCCCTCCTAAGGGAAGGCAAATCGGTAACGTGACCGAATCTGACACAAATGTGGGAAAAGTCTGACTCTTTCAGGGTCAGATCTGACCATTTATCACTGACCAGTGTAAAGGCTTGAACATTTTTATTTCATCTTTATTGCTCAATGATAGCATACACATTATCTTCTCAACGGTATCGACTAGGCGACAAGCTCGATGGAACAATGCTATTATATTATGGTGTGCAGCATGACGAGAACGACACACGGGTGACGAGGGTGTCACGTATTGCTGGCATTTGCTTCTCCAACAGCAGATGGGGGCTTATACGCGAAAAGATGACTTTCTCGAGGTGTGACGGTCCCTTTAATCGTAGTTGAGGACTGGTCGAGGTAAACCATATTCCTGAAGAGTTTCAGAAGAGCTTCTGAAGAGCTTCTGTTTCGTATCTTTCGGTGAAAATGGTTCAAAACCAGGCAGCGATCTAAATCACAGCTATGTGCTATGCCGAGAAGAGGTTAAACATCTATCATGTAGGTAACTACGAAGCAACTATCCTTTTCTCTAGCCCACTATCAGACATAAGTTCCAACCTAATGCCTAGCAAATCACACCATGTGGATGCATTTGAGCTTCATCACGCAAAACATGCAGTTTGGTGCAGAATGGCTCCAACCTGTTTCTTCTTATTGAGCAAGGCTCCTCCTGCACACCGTTACGATCAACGCGAGAAAGAGCGAAGAACTCCAGACATCACTATGTGACGCCTACGCCAAAATCGGCCGCCCCTCGCCGGTGCAAAGATCTATTTTCATCCTCGTCTAGTACTCGTCGTCATACTGGTCATCCACTGAAGACTGAACCTCCTCATAGTCCTTCTCCAGCGCGGCGATGTCTTCGCGAGCCTCGGAGAACTCGCCCTCCTCCATGCCCTCGCCGACGTACCAGTGCACGAAGGCGCGCTTGTTGTACATCAGGTCGAACTTGTGGTCCAAGCGCGCCCAGGCGTCCTGAATGGCAGTGGTGTTGGTCAACATGCAGACGGCGCGCTGCACCTTGGCCAGGTCGCCGCCGGGCACCACGGTCGGCGGCTGGTAGTTGATGCCGACCTTGAAGCCAGTCGGACACCAGTCGACGAACTGGATGGTCTTGTTGACCTTCATGGCTGCGATGGCGGCGTTGACGTCCTTCGGAACGACGTCTCCGCGGTACAAAAGACAGCAGGCCATGTACTTGCCTTTGCGAGGGTCACACTTGACCATCTGGTTGGCCGGCTCGAAGCAGGCTTTCGTGATGTCATGCACGGACATCTTCTCGTGTTGAGCCTTCTCCGCGGAGATGACCGGAGCATAGGTGACCAGCGGGAAGTGGATACGCGGGTACGGCACCAGGTTCGTCTGGAACTCGTTCAGGTCCACGTTCAGGGCGCCGTCGAAACGCAGTGAGGCCGTGACTGAAGAGACGATCTGCCCAATCAGTCGGTTCAGGTTGGTGTACGTCGGGCGTTCAATATCCAAACTCGACTTGCACAACTCGTAGATGGCTTCGTTGTCGACCATAAACTCGACATCAGTGTGCTCCAGGGTGGTGTGCGTGAACAGGATCGCATTGTACGGCTCCACAACCGCTGTCGAAACCTGCGGCGCCGGGTAGATGGAGAAGCACAGCTTGGACTTCTTGCCGTAGTCGACGCTGAGACGCTCCATCAGCAGCGAGGTGAAGCCGGAGCCGGTGCCGCCTCCGAACGAGTGGAACACCAGGAAGCCCTGCAGTCCTGTGCTGCCATCCGCCAGCTTTCTGAGGGCGTCCATCGTCGCGTCCACTATCTCCATACCAATGGTGTAGTGGCCACGCGCATAATTGTTGGCCGCGTCCTCCTTTCCAGAGAGGAGCTGAGACGGGTGGAACAGCTGCCGATATGTACCGGTACGCACCTCATCCACCACCGTCGGCTCCAGGTCCACGAACACGGCGCGAGGCACGTGCTTGCCGGCGCCCGTCTCTGAGAAGAACGTGTTGAAACTATCGTCGGCAATACCAATGCTGGCGTCGGAGGGCATCTGGCCGTCGGGCTGGATGCCGTGCTCGAGGCAGTAGAGCTCCCAGCAGGCGTTGCCCATCTGGACACCGGCCTGGCCGATGTGGATGCTGATGACCTCGCGGTTTGGAGTTACCTTCGACATTGTGGCAGAGTAGGATGACAGCTACTTGGATCACTGACAGACTGTGAGAGCTCGAGGAGCGAGCGTCCAGCCGTGGCGCCAGTTACGCGCGCCGGGCAGGAGAGGCCGCCGGTGCCGGCGAGTCGTCACCCCACAGCAGCAGCGTCACCTCCGCTACCTACCGACCGTACACGCTCTGACAGCGCAAGGGCGCTCGACGTCCCCACATGACCGTGTCCACAGCCCGCCCTCCGTCGGCAGCACTGTGTCAGGCACCACGAATCTGTGTTGCATGTCGTTGCCGGGAGCCGAGCAGTCACCGTAACCCGACATCGATCACAAAGGGTCACACGAGGCACGCAACGCCGCGTCTGCACGGCCGCCCTGACCCCGAGCGGCAAACACTGCGGTCGACCTACATACAGTGGGCAGACATTCCTCGCAATGGGCTGCTCAATATTCGGGTAATAGGGGAGCCATGAGACTGTCGTAAAACATGCATTTTTTATGCCTGCAGCAAACCGAATGAGGTCACGGCTTTCGAGCATTTGCATAAGTATATGCTCGTTAAAGGAGCACTAGTGTCCAGTAATAGTCTTACTGGACGTACTTGTGTTCAAGTACTTGTGTTCAAGTACGTCCAGTAACGCTTGCTCAAATATTTGCAGAAAGACTTGCTGCCCTTTTGGTGCAATGTCGACGTTTCATCCACTTTGCTTTTTAGTCACTGCCAGCTCTCAATTGGCCTAAACAATGTGTGATTTGATAGCAAAGCAGCCTACGTATCGCGGTCATCCAAAATTTCCAGTTAGGGCGTGACCCAATTGGAATCAAGCGGCCAGCACTGCGCCCCCACCTGACGAGCGTGGTGCTACCAAACCGTAGCGCCTACGAGAACTGGACGCTTCAGTCGCGTGGCGAGGGTACTTACAGCAGATTGTCCAGTCCCAGCACGCCCATACCACGGAAGTCGGTCTTCGGGTCATCTCCCTGGAAGCCGATGTCCTTCCATTGTGGCGAGATGCGCTCAGTCAGCTCCGTCTGTGAAGCAGAAACACACGTCCCGATTAGTAGGGAAGAGGTAATACTAATTACGTGCTCAGGAAACGGTGCTTCTGGAGCTTCTCAGCCAATGGCGGTCTTCCACACGGGTAAACATACACAATACAACCTTCTGAAAATTTTAGAGACATGGAAGGAAATTGGGATGATCGTGTCAAGACCAAGCATGGGCATTGGTTTTGGTAGCGAGAGGGCGCCACCAATAATTATGAATTACTGGGAATCAGGGAGGACTGGGATTCAAAACTGGGCGGTAATGAACAGGGGCCTAATTGCCGCCAACCAGGGTCGATGGCGCTAATAAATTGATGGGCCGATGACAAAACAACCGCGGCACTGGGACGAAAACAGCGTTCAAGCATTATCAAAAAGCGATGGGCACAGCTCGTGCCAGCTGAGCGGCGCCCGTAGCGGTCTCGGAGGACCGACCCACCACCGGGCAGAGCAGGCTCCAGAGCTGGCGCAGCTTGGCCTCGTGTTCGGGCTGCGCGGCGTCGTACGGCGTGCGGCGGAGGTGCTCCAGCTCAGCGGACAGCTGCCTGTACCCCCAGATCTGGTCCAGACACACGGAGATGGAGCGAACGAACCTGCGAGAAACGGAGCACGGGGGTGTTCGTCAGTGTGGTACAGAATACAGATACACGGCGTGGTTGGCAGGTGACATCGTATGGCTTAACTTTAGTGAGTGCATGTCTCTGGTACAGTATCTGAGGCCCAGACTTCACTCACAAACATTACTCCTTCACACTTTACTCACTGCGAATGTATTTCTGGTTTGATATCCTTCACTTTCAGTATGGCGAACACGGAGTAGTCGATCACTTGTGCCCGAGACGGACCCAGAAATCGTCTCTCATTCGCCTTTTGGTCCAAGTAGCTCATGAGGTCGATTATTGTCTTGGTACGCGACTGCTTCATGGACTCCTCTGAAACGCGAAACACGGCAGAAGCTATTAGTGTCGCGTTGGTAAAGGTAGCGTTCAACGTAAGTCGATTCAACGATCGTGTGATACACATTACAAATACACATTAACAAAACCTAACAAAACCTATGGATAAGTCGAGGCATACGCGTTGCTCGTTCCATCAGGCAGCCACCCCGCAAACTTCCGAAGACTGAGCGGCATTGCACTACGTTTTACTTTTTGTAGCAAAAATGACACCGAATGAATGTGAAGAAACAAAATATACTAAATAGTAAGACAGCCAAGCTAAAACAGTACAATAAAAACGTTTCCAATAAGCAAAGCGGAGACGACTATACCAGAACCTCAATACCGTCGGCTAGGCGATAAGAGCCTAGCAATACTTTCTTCGAGGTTGAAGCCGTTCACTCACCAACGCCTATGGCCCGCAGTGCGCCGGCCGGTTGGCCATAGCAGATACGCTGCATCTCGCACAGGCGCGTCGTCTTGCGGAGCAGCCATTTGAAGAGCGGACGCAGGTACCACGCGATCAGGTTCCATACGCGCTCCAGCATCAGCATCATGGCTGTAAAAAGAGTAGTAAAGCATCTGGTGATGAGCTGCTGTGTTCCTGTTACACTTGATATGGTATGGACGCACGGAACAGCCCGGCTGGCCACTTGTCGACCTCGCTGGTCCCTCGTAGAAGCGAGATCAGAGGTTCTGCGAGATATCCGCGGACATTTGGGACCCGCATCACCCCTGATTGATACCGGATGCGTCGTTAGAAAAATCAACAACAAATTAAGCTCAGTCTCGGGAACCTTTAGCGGTCCGTCATACCTATAATCGAACTTTAAACACGACACTTTGACAGCTGGGAGTAGCCCATGGTTTGACGGCTGGTTAAGAATGCTCTTGGTGGGCAGATTCAACCAGCTTTTCGATGACGGACGCTCCTCGCAGTGAGCTACGTTTAAGGTACGAATATTGAATAACCAGGATTAACAGCTCCATCGATTTGATCCCAGGGCTCTCAGCAATCAACCGGCACAGATCGGGAAACTCGACAAAGGACGATCACGTCGGCCTGGCGCGCAATCTATCCTTCGTGTCGGTCCAACACACCAGGCAATAGACCTGGAGGCCAGAGCTCATCTGGCTCTGGTCACTCTTTGCAACCAGCCACTTAATAATCATGGTTTCACCTGACCTCAGGCTACCTTTAGGCATTTTGCAGTATGTTTACAGTTACAAGAACTGTACATACAGTTACAAGAACTGAACATTTACAAGAAATTCAACTGGTGCCTAGACTAGAATGGGCAGATTGCCAATGCCATAGCTAAGCAAGGCTCCTAGTGGCTTGCAGAGAATCCTTATTCCTGGATAGAATGAGATAGATGAAAAGAGATACAAAATGGATTCACTGCCAGATTGAGAAATGCAGAGTAGACAATGAATGCAAAACACAAATATAATGATGATAGGTTGAAGTCATATTGATATGAGTAATAAATTTCCAGGCTCATCAGTCATCATGCAATCCTGATGATACATGATCAATATAACTGGACATAGCCCACTCCATTCCAAGACTTCATTTGACCAGGGACAAAGCAATAGACATGTGACTGCAAGACCCCCCATCAATATAGTAAATAGTCACTGCTGAGACAGATATAGGCATGCTGTTTTCTTCAGCAGGCGCCAGGCAGTAGCTAATTCTAGAAACAGACTGCCTCAAGCCTCACTACTAGCAATGACTAATAATTTGACTTGGCCATGTTAAAATGGTAACAAGATTCAAGAATGATATAATGAAAACAGCAGTTGTATTTTTTAAGCTTAAGGAAACAAATTACACCTTGTGACTCGTGACATGACAGAAAAACACTTCTTTAGAGAATCTAAAATATCAATATCAAGATGCTCAGCATGCAGAAGCTGTAACCATGATTCTCTCTTGTTTGTCTTGATATGATATGTCTGACATTCTCTGATAGTAGTCAAGCAAATGTTGAGCAAGCTCTTGAGATCAATCCGTGCATGTGCTGCATTGTGACATAATATTCAGAGGGCTGTTCACGGACCCTGTGTGCGGTCGGACCGCACACAGCCTCCAAGCTCCGCCCACTGCGTCCCTACGTCAGCCTTGCGTCACCGCACACAGCGACCGCTGTGGCCAGTCGGGACTGGCCACAGCGGACCGTCCACCGCACGCGGCCGTGACGTCAGAGCCGCCTACCCATCCCCTACCCCCACGCCTGCTGGACGTACCGCACACACCGCACGCAGCAGTGTGCGGTGCCCGTGAACACCCCTCAGGTATATCAATGAATGCATCTTGGGATTTCAAGCAGAATATGTTGAGGCACACTGATGTAACTTACCAACTGGTAGTCCAAGCTTCCTACTAGTAACTAGACTGAAGCTGATAAAGTCCAATATCAATATTAATAAAAGCAAGACCTTTCAAAGGTGGGTCAGGGTTGGACTCCAGTCACAGTAGGTAACCTCAGATAGTTCAATATGGGTGCCCTTTGATGCGTTAACTCCAACAAGGCCTTATGCAGGCTATAACTGTTGCGCAAAGCAGGCAGTATGTATCTTTTAATGAATTAAACCGCACGAAAAACTTTCAAACACCCAATGCACCCAATTATCAAACGATGATGCGGCATAGGATAGGATCAATTATCAAACCCATCAAACACCAATCGCAACCACATCGCAACCGACGAAATCAATTGAAACAAATGCGGTAGAACTGTCGTAATTTCGTCAAACTTTTTACTTCTGTACGCGTATTTACAAATTGCAACCGAGCTCCGCCGTAGGGTATTTTATTTCCGCCGTAGTGTATTTCACTTGGGGGATTTTCTACCATACATCTGCCTGAGCCTAGGGTAATTACAATTTGTCGGCTACGTTAAAAAATGATGCACCTTTTTTCGCAGTATAGGATATCGCATGTGCATATTTCTGCCTTTTGGGTGCGCTTTATCGGTTTTTCGTGAGTAACTCGCGTAAAAACCGTCCGATCGCGACGAAACTTTCAATACCCCCGATTTTATCAATTTTACACCTACCCTGAAAATTTCATGACCCTGACCCAAATGACCTTTGACCTGGCTGTGACCTATTTCTCGAGACCATGTTTGGCCCGAATCGCGATTCGGCGTATGTCGGCTCGCACTAGCCGCGCGGTTGCAGTCTTCACGTGGTTTTAAGCGTTGAAACATGTGATATGATGCTGGTCCCATGCATTAGGGTGGGTGTCAAGGTCAGGTCAGCTCAATGACCTCTGATGACCTCGGTTCACTTTTTCGAGTTTTACATGTTTCTAGGCTAGTTTTTGGAGCTGATTTCGAATTAAGCAACCATTTGAACATTACAGGGGGTGTAACGAAATTATCCGGACACCTTTCTTCCCGCTGTAAAAGTAAAACAATCTGGTACTTTTTTAACTGAGCTTGAAGCCACCTTTCATAAAAACACAGTGGCGACTGGCGAATGTTCTGGAGCATTTCAGCCAATGGATTCTCCAGCACACTGGCTTTGATGCGGACCAACGCCGTCTAAACCTGTGCCTGCGGTTGAGCAGTGCTTATGGCGGGTGGCTCTTCATACACCTCCTGCTGAACAAGAGCCCAGGTTTTCGATTGAATTGGGATCGCGACTTTTTCCAAGTCATAGGCGTTAGCCCAGAATGATTGAAGGTTCTATCGGCATCACTTCCCGTTCTTTTAGGGACTTTTAAGTAGCGCGCCGCCCCGCATGAAAACAGCTTGGCTTGAATCAGGCATCAGTGCGCGTTCAGAAACCATGCCCTCCTAATATGCCGTCTGGTTGAGCGCCTCCAATCATGCTCCACCGTACCTTCCCTGGAAAAGCCCTTGCCTATGGGGCAAAATATAAGGGACAAAAACACAAAACAAGACAGATAAAAACAAAGCAAAATTAACTCATTACCTAATGAAATTCAGGCTGGAGCAAAAACATACATAGGTAATAGGTATATATGTCAAATTAGAATGAAAGATTAAAATCAACCTGACCAGGCCCTACGGTCTGACCGGGTCCTAACCACCTTACTTCGCCTAACTTAACCCAATTCAACCTAGCCTACCACAACACCTGCAGAGGTACCTTCCTGGAAAAATGACGCCCAGGGAGATGACTGTCCAACTTATTGGAACACTACCATGATTGCTTGTCAAAATGTGTGTCATCATGCTCTTGTTTGACGAGTGATGTATAATAAATGTGATATTCAATAATTATCTCCTGACTGTTGACTGTTGAGTGATCAAAATATTCAAATAATCAGGGTACAATGCTGTGCATAGTGCACACTAATCATGTTGTTTTTGTGTAGGCCCTCTCCACATTGTTGTGTGCACTGCTATGTGCACCTTAAGTAAAAAAGTGACTGGTGGTACATGACAAAAGGAATTGAGCAACTGTGAAGTTCATGCCCTTGGTCTTGCTGGTGCCAAATGCCTATAGCTATAGCAGGATCAATGAGGGTTGTAGACATGCTACATACATTGTGCATTGAAGATATTGGCACAAATAATATATATATATATATATATATATATATATATATATATATATATATATATATATATATATATATATATATATATATATATATATATATATATATATATATATATATTTGTCTATTATTACTCAACATATTGGCACAAAGTTAATCCGTAATTACTATGCTTAACACCTAATGCAAGAAGCGACATGAATGCCTAGATGATAAAGCTCTCTGGTCAACATCACACAAATTTATTGACATACCTTGCATGTACATATTTACATTCATGGCAAATACTTTCGATTTGATTCAGAAACTAGTTGCTAAGCTTGCATTTTTGTAGGTACAACGACCATATATTAAATCATAAAAAACCTTCTCATGGCATTCATCACATACCTTTTTACTGAACAAGTACCTAGCTACCATGCAATGATTCTACAATTTGTCCTCAATCCATCTATATCTCAACTGACACAATGAATTTCAAATACCCTAACAAAACCTATAACTGTACATCAGAAGAATGCAATACTACAAGAACTATGAATTTCTTAAGTTATTCTCACATGCTGGAATCAGGAATTTTGAAACTCTACTTTTGTCGTCCATTTCTATGTTTGATTGAGCCATCATATAGAACCGTTTTCGTTCTTCAGTCACAAGCTTTCACACAAATCTTGAATTTTTACACATCATCTTGAACCATGCTCCAGTCTTTCCAACAAGGTACTATGTAACATCAAAGCAATTTTGATTTGTTACAACAGCTTCAGATCATGATAGGCTTGAGGGTTTGTTACACCATTTGCCAGACAAATCTCTACAAAATGTGTATCAATTCCCAAACTAAGTAATTGATCATATCAGTATTTGCAGTTTCCACACAATGTTTCATAATACTATTTTATGTTTGTATAAAGAAACTCAAATAATCCACAATTCACAGCAATGACTCAGAAGCAAACAAACATTGCGCCAGATTTCGTATGAAACGCGCCATCGTCCTGAAGTTTCTACCACAGACGGTAGTTCAACCGCAGCCGTAGTGCGAAAACCCCTGCCCGCCTTACCCCACGGCGGAGCTCGGTTGCAATTTGTAAATACGCCTTCTGTACATCGTATTTTGAATTGTATGGGGAAAGTATTGATATTTTTCTCTTTCTCCGCTCAGGTAAAAAAGCACAATTTGATTTTCGATGATTGAAAAGAAGAATAAGGGTGCGAACTGCGAAAAGAGACGAAGGAAACAATTTTTTTTTCAAAATGAATTTTCAAAAGCAATAGACAAAAGCTATCAGAAAGTTGCCCAAAAATGAAAAATAGCAGAGGGAAAACTCCCCAGATTCATGCCAAAGCTCTCAGTATTTTCACTAATTCATCAAAATATCGCTACCTTTGACTCCTATCATTGTACAAAAATAAATTCATTTTGTGCTTATTGCCAGCCGGTGTTTAAAGCGTTTATTTTTTGCTAAAAGGGGGCTGAAGAAGTTGTCGCAGAGTTTGGCCCAAAGGGCCAATAGGTGTCCTGCAGTGTCTAACCCACTGTCAATATTTTTTGTCCATCATTGATTTTGTGGCTTAGCAAAAGAAGCTGAAGACCAACCCTTATTTCAAGTTATGGCTGAAACAAAAAATCCACTCAAAGATAAATTGAATGACGATGAATTGGATCTGAGTATATGTAATTATGCTGATAAAGATGTTCCAGTCAAAGATATAGTAAGTATATTTCACAATGGGGTTGCTGATATTACTGCATTCATCGTGCGGGGATGTCATAGGATGTAATTCAAATTCTTACCTCGTAAGCATCACAATTTGACATGGTCAAGGTCTTTGTTTGAAGGTTTTTAGGAGCAAAGATGGACCTATGATTTTCTTTTATCAGGAGCTGATGTTATGCGAAAACATGTGTTCCAATATCCAGGGTCAGTTAAGTGAATAATTGGAGCATCCACAAGAAAAGCTCACTTTTTTCAGTGTTTGACCAAGACAGAATGATCATGTTTCTGCAGCTTCCTGCACTAAGACATGATAATTATGGCATTGTGGCTCCCTAAATTTTTTAATTACACAGGGTGCCATAGTTCTCTGGCTATAGGGGCTTCAGCCCCTGGACTGGAGCCCCTCCTGGGGGCTGGGATCAGGCCATGTTTCAGGGGGTCCCTGTGCATGGCATATCATGAGTTTTACCATTGTGTGGAGCAGATATTGTGTGGAATTGTGTGAGCTGTTTTGTGGTGTGGTGCTGGATTATTGTGTTGACGCAATGCTGGCCACAGATTTGATATGCAAAAGACATCAGTGTCAGACAGGAACATTTTTTTATAATTCCTAGATTCTCATGTCACAAGTAAATGACTGTGAGAATAAATTTGAATTTTAAAATGAACAGCTTACAGCAGTGAAGTATATTGAAACCTACATAATAGGTGAAACACTAAGCATTTTGCTGCATTTTAAGCTGTAGTGCACATCAGGATTCTACCACCAGACAAAACAAATGTCATGCCAGTAATGATTGTGATCATGTGACAAGGTCATGTCTAAAAACTCAGCATTGCTCAGAATAAATCACTGACTAGGTACCTACCTATTCCATTAAGATATTAACTGAAGGCTTGTTCATTTCAGGCTCTTCTGAAGAGGGCAAACAAGCTTGACTTATCAAATAATAAGTTGATTGGCCTGCCTGTAAGTACCTACCTGAAACTTTAAGATATTTTTATGCTAGATATGTTGTTAACATAGGTACTTTCTGTTACCAAATATTTTACCCTAGGCACTACCAATAGATTTTGGATGAATAATAAAATATTTGTAAAATTCACATCTCCAATTTGGATGGCACATGATTCTAAGGAAGAAGTATGTCTATTTAACCCTAAAAATAAGTAACTATTCTTTGTGCTGTCTCTTTTTATGACTGGGTAAACATGGGAAAATAATGAGGGCAAGATAGTATCTCTAATGTAAAATCCTATACAGGAACTTAATTCTGTTCATTTTCCTACGATCTAACGATTTTCTGTACGACTTTCTTCATTCTTGTATTTTTTTTTTAATTTTTATCGATAATCATTAGACCATATTTAGGCTAACTCTTCAGTCTTCATGTTACTGAGGTGCACTAATCCAGCTGTGGGTATTTTGTTTCACAGAAAACATTTGCAACACTGACTCACTTGGTGAAGCTTGATCTTAGCTGCAACCTTATCGTTGAGCTGCCAACCAACTTTGGAGAACTAGAACGCCTGAAGCATTTGGACCTCTACAACAACAAGGTATGGAGACCCTCGTACATTGCTCGTACGTGACGAATCCTACATGATAAATTATTTCATTAAGCGGGTCTGAGCCCTGAGGCGATCTTTTTTCGTGCCCTTTGTCGTCAGGCTGCACGTATGATCCTCGCTATCTCTTAGTCGCTCGCTGGACGTCGATGTGGGCGCCTTTGCGTGCACGTGCGGCCCGCCGACCCGCATTGTTTCCGTGCCTCCAGCTCACTCACCTTCCGGTGAGTTTCCACCGGCTCACCTCGCTGCGATGGCTGGACCTGAAGAACAACCCGCTGAGCTCTCAGCTGGCGGCCGCCGCCGGCGAGTGCCTCAACCCCAAGGAGTGCGAACAGTGCGCGCGCCGCGTGGTCCAGTTCATGGGCCGCGTCAAGGAGCACTACGACCAGGAGCGAATACGGCGGCAGCAGCACGAGAAAGGTGGGCACAGCGGCACTCCCGGTCGCGCGGGGGAGGAGGGTTCCCAGTTCGGGTCATATTGGGCCCTGCTAGGCGGTGGACTCGGTTTCAAACTTACCGTAGAGGCCGAAGGGCGGGCTCTGGTGGGAAGTGGAGGGTCGGTTCATGGTGGGCCCTGATCTCACACCACCCGAAACCGCTCCGGGGTGGGAGGACCTCCGGGGTGGGGGAGGCCGGTCGTTGTTCTGGTGCGGAGTTCCACCGACAAGCTTACACATTTTCCAGCCCCATTCATCGTTCATTTCAGTGTTTGGAGTCCTATTCAAAATTCGATGGTTCTGTAAGGTTTGGTTTAATTATATTAGTTGATTCGTCAAATTCAAAATACATTTAAATCTTACACTCAGGGCAGGCTTAGTTCTGAACTATGATAGTCTATGTAAGTCTTTCACACTCCGAATCCATTTTGTGTAATTATTTTGCGTTTTGGATTAAGCATTTTCTGATAGCCTGGAAATCGGTTACAGCATAAGCAATGCCAGTCTCAGTAAGTGCTGAAAAACATGCTTATTGTAAGAGGCAATGCTCTAGCAATGCACTAGCATCGGTTTTAACCATAGTTGATTTATCGTGAAATAATATCTGAAGAATTCGTATTTCGAAAAGTATCACAATCGTCATCAACAGAGCTCATGCAAGCGAAGTTGGCGGCAGAAGAGGCAGAAAAGGAGAGGTTAAGGCTGGAGAAAAAGGCTAAAAAGGAGAAAAAGAAGCAAGAGTTGAGGGAAAGGAAGATAGAGAATCTGCACCACCATCACCCGGATGACGCAGAACTGAAAGCGTCTCTGGTGGAGGAAAAGAGTGTCAAATCATCGAAAGCAGAGAGTGGTAAGTCCACGTGATCTTTACGTTCCCCGACTAGCTATTATTTGTTTTGTCCAAAAGCTGGCAATTTGTTTGCATGTTTTTTTGCAACCATTTTGACCCATTTTAGGTCTCTGAAGAAGTACCAGCGTCCCCTGTTCGTGCCGCTGACCGGCCGTTGTTTCAGGTGGCGGCCTCTCGTTCGTCGGTAAGCTGAACCTGGTACTCCTTCTGACGGCCGTGGCGCTGGTCGGCGGCGCCCTCTACCTGCAGCAGCGCGGCGGCAGGGCGCCCAGCGCCGGTCTGCCCGCCGACCTGGCCGGACGAGCCGTGGACTTCTCCGTGCGGGCGTTCGAGCGTGTCTCCGAGCTGGGCACCAGCACCGGCGACCTGCTGGTGAAGCAGACGCTGGCGGTCTGGCGGTGGGGCGGGGAGCTGGCCGCGCAGATAGACCTGTACTTGACGCAGGCGCTCGGCGAGTCCTGGCACTCCACCAAGGCGGCCGCTGGGGAGGCCGGCAGTGCGCTGAGCCGGGTCTCGCGCCGCGCCGGCGAGCAGAGCCTGGCACTGCTGTCGTACGCGGTGCGGCGGGCCTGGGAGTCGGCCGGCCCTCTCTGGGGGGCGGCCTGCGACCAGGCGGCGCGACTGCGACAGGACGCCGGCCCGCTGCTGATACAGTGGACCGAGGCCGGCTGGCGCGCGCTCGTCGACTTCTGGGCGGCCGTGCAGCGCGAGGCGCCCGGGTACGCGGCGGCCGCCTGGGAGGTGGCCTGTCGGGTCGCCCAGGGCGTCTGGATGATGTGCTCTGACGGCTGGGAAGTGGTCAGCACCCAAGTGCCTGTATACGCCTCGCTGGCCGCTGAGCGTCTCACTAAACTGGTGGCATCCGTAACAGGTGGTTAGGGGCGCTGCTGGCCTCAGCCACATCGGCCAGCGATATATACTATTTTGTTGCTTTCGGTTTGGTGATTTTACGCGAATCTATCAGTTGTGCGTAAAATGCATGGGATTTGGTTTCTACGGGCATAATGGGTTGGTGGGAAATTCAGCGGGGCAACTTTGTGCGTTTAAGCACCAAACTGTGTGCATCCAATGGGTGTGGCGTCACGTTTTGCAACGAACCTTTGGCTGCATGTTGTGACGAGAACAAAAGGTACTGTGCGGATCGTGTGCCAGCAAAATGACGTTGTGTATGACTTCCTTGGTCCCATTAACGGATTGCTTATGGCTCAAGTTTCGGTTGGGTTCTTCGCGTTTTGGTGGTTCTGCATTGCTACGATGATGGCTTCGTTGTTAAATTAGCTCATTCTGGTCATTTTTCAATTTTGGTATGGATCAAGTGGAGACCCAGCGACAAGAATATTATTTGTACGAGTTTAGGGTCACTGGTAAAGATATGGTCGTTTTATGTGATACGAAGCCATTCCGCTCACACATCCAAATGATCTTATGTGTGATAAAATAAACGGTGAATTAACAATATTTTGGTTAATTGTGGAGAGTGATAGTGCCTGCTAAATATTTTTTATCATTTAACTCCAATTCCAAGACGATACAATATGCCTGGCTATGAGGAAATTGTGTTTGTCGGGAACAACAAATTACTAACACCTGCTTGCTATTTTTGGATGAGATGGTATTGAGCTATAAGTTAGGTTATAAAAAGGCCACTTGTTGCTTGCTCTACGTGACCTCCACGTAGTCCGGAATGAAATAGAGTGTAGAGAACCTCACTCGCGTTCTGTGGTTGATAAGGACTACGGGCACGGGGTTCGCGGGTCCGGGATGGGAGCTTATGGAAGACTTCTGCGTACCTATGCTCCTTGAACCACAAAGCTTATCTGGTAGAACGTTAAATGCGTAAAGCTCAACTTTTCCAAAGTGAACTGATTTCATTGAGCCACTGCTTTTTGGCCCAAGAGCCGAATTGTCATTCGTCCGATCTGTGGTGTGCAGTTTGTGTGTGCGGCTAGCCGGTATGTCTTGAGGTCGTTCGTCGATCTTTCCATCCGTTTGTCGGTCGATCCACTTTTATGTCCGTCGGTACGGTCGTCCGTTCCTCGATCCGTCGGTCCATAGATTTGCACGTCAGTCGGTCGTTACGCTCACCCGTCACCCCTCACCACTACCTGGTTACGTCTGTTTGTTGATCCGTTCATCCATCCGTCGTTCTGTAGGTCTCTGTGGTCCGTAGTCGTACGTCTATCAGTTAGTCCTCAAGTCCACCTGCCTTTCCCGACGTCAATGTATTGTTGGGCCCGTACGTCCGTTTAACCATCTACCCACCGGTCGGTCGACCTATGAACCTGTTCGTCATCCATCCTCGCAACCTTTCGGTCGGCTCACCCGTCCGTTCACCCATACCCGTCTGCCGGCTGGTCCATACGCACATCCGTTCCCCTATTTATCCGTCTCCCAGCATCCCCCCTAACCGTCTCCCATCCTGTTATCCATCTATCTATCCGTCTATCTATCCTCCCATCCGTCGGCGGGAGGCGGCGCCATTTGTCGCCAGCGCTCTGGACCCGCTCCGCACGGTGGTCCCATTAGCCGGCCCCGTCAGCCATCTGGTTCGCAGCCGCTCCGCGCAGTTTCTCCGCACAATCGAAAGTGAAGGTCGCAAAACGCCAGCCGCCTAAAAAATGCTCCCTTGGTACCCAGAGGACTCAGAGTAGCAGCCTTCTAAAGGTTTGCAGCTTAGAACAATTGTTTTAGAAATGGGGATAATGGAAATGTATTCCCCTCTGTGTCGCATACAGTGTGATTTTTTTCTAAGTGATCTTGTGCTTAAAGTTAACCCTCGCATGACAGGGGGCCGGGGGGGATGGGGGCTGGAGGGGGGGGGGGCTCTACAGAGCCCCCTCCCGGTTTTCGGCAATATCTTCTAAACCATTTCACGGATCAATACGAAACTTGCAGTACCCTCGGCGACATTAATTTGACACCTTGTGTTAAAATTTCAACTTTCTAGATACTATAGTTTGGCCGGAAATGACGTCAGAGTGACGTCATGTCGGCCAATTTTGATGCAAAATATTGAATTACGGCGAACGCTCTCAAGAGCTTAGTTTTAAAGCTAGGTCCAATTTCGTTGCACCAGTGGACTACAAATACACGTAGCTATCAAATAACTATCTGGAATTTTTGAAATTTTGAAAATTTTGAAAAATACGTTTTTACAATTACAAAAAAAAATATTTTTCTTTTCTGATTTTTCTAACAAGTTTTTGATTTTTCGCAAAAACCGGAATATATGTGATAGAACACGCACTGATGAACTACTCTAGCAAGTTTTAGCCCAATATCTTCAAAAATAGCAAAGTTATTTGCATTATTGCCAAAATTTTACAATTATATATTTTTTCAAAACCATTTTCAGTACGTTTTTGACATCGTACAACAATATGAATAGCACCATCGTGTTCCTGAGCTGAAACTGCATCTGATAGGCACCTTTTTTGTTGAAAGTTTTATTTTCAATATTTGACCTTTTCTGACCTGAAATTGACCTGACCTCCGGTAAATTCAGCTGAAAATGACCTCAAAGGGCACAGACGACATTATTTTCGAAATCTACGTGTTAAATGGACTATAAAACATCGTCACGTGACCGATACATGATATACAATTTTCGTGACCTAGGATGACCTGGCCTTGACCTGAACAATGCGAAGTAAAAGTTTGTTACCCTCAGGGTATCTGAGGTATATATCAAGAAGTGCGTGTTAAGTTTGCATTTATGTTATCGTCCCAAGTTATATTTGTTTGCGTCGCGTCGTGTTATGTTACCGCGTTGTATTTATCGAGCGGGTCGACGGCGTTGCCCGACCTGGCCGCCCGCCGCGGGCCGGCGTGACCGCTATGGCGCATGCGCGCTGACCTGGCGCCGGTCACGTGATCGACAGTGACCTCGGCGCGGCGGTGCCTGGACGGGGGCAGTAGGCGAGCGGGAGGCGGAGCGGACGGTGGCCGGTATTCCGGATCGGCCACGGCTGTCCGTATCTGTCTCTCGGTCCCTGCTCCCCTCGGCCTTCCCCGCCAGTCGGGGTGGGGGTGGCATCCAGAGCTGCCCTCACCTTCCGCTGGGCGGTCGGCACCTACCCACCTTTTGTGTGCGCCTACCCACCGACCATTACCTGTGTAGTGCCCTGCCTACCCACGACCATTGCCTGTGTGATTATGTACCACCATCGCCAATACAGCCGCTTAAACGTATTTTAACTCTTTGGTCCTTAATTCATTTTTTATGCGCCTGATTCTCCACTCTTAAACATCAATTTTAACATAGTCCTCCCCGGGCCGGATGCGCCTTTTTGGCTGAAATTTTCACTTACCCAGAGGCACCTTAATTTTGAATAATGGAGGATCAGGTGAAATTAAGGACCAAACTGAGGACCAAAGCCACCAAACTAGTCAATGACACAAAGGCATACCGAGCCAAGGACCACAAAGACATTGACATTGACTACCTTGCCTACAAAGTCCATCAACTAAATGCATTGCGAGACGACCTTAAAGCAGTCCAGACCCTTCTCGACAAAGACGGCAACCCAGACGAGACTCAACATACCGACATGATAGAGGAGGAGGTCTTCATGGCGTCTCGACTCCTGGCTCGACTCGAAGGAGGAGCGGCTGGAGCCATTCGAGACAGCACACGTGAAGTCGACCCGACCTCAAATACTGACCTTCGATCCTCGCTCGTCGTGAAGATACCCACATTCAGCGGAGACCTTATGAAGTGGCGCTCATTCTGGGAGCTGTTCGGCGTATCCATCCACAGCAACAGCCGGTACAGCAACATCGAGAAGTTTGTGGTCCTGAAGTCGCACCTCAGTGGCTCAGCCCAGAAGGCCATCGACGGGATCCCTGTGTCTGGAGACGGATATCTCGCCGCCATCGACATCCTGAAGAGGAGATTCCAGAGAGACGACATCGAGAGGGAGACTCTGATGAAACGTCTCCTGGATGCACCCGCCGTCCACAACGGAAACGACCTAAGCGCCATGCGGAGCCTGGTGGACCACCTGTCCGCCCACACGCGTGCTCTGGCCACCCTCGGGGTAAACCCTGAGAGCTCCTCGAGCCTTCTTCTCCCAGTCATGAAGGAGAAACTTCCTGAGAGCTGGCGACTCGAGTGGGCTCGACAGGAACAGCCCAGCTACGAGCACCTGCTGCTGTTTCTGGAAAGGGAGCTGGCCCTCCGAGAAACCGTTCGAGCCACCAGCCCACCCCCAAGTCCAGCGACACCATCCTCATCTCCTTCCACAGCTTCTGCCCTGTCCATCCAGCGGCAGACACTGGCGAAACAGGCCAAATCATGGACCTGTGGAGCGTGTGGCCGAGGACAGCATGGACTGAACCAATGCCTGGCATACAGAGCCATGACAGTCGACGACCGATGGAGGACAGTGGGCAAAACTGGTGTTTGCTACCAGTGCCTGGGCCCTCACAGGGTTCGGTCCTGTATGAGCCATCCATGTTCGTCCTGTGGGGAGCCTCACCACACATCGCTTCACCATCCGACCCAGCACCAACCGACAAGGCCTGCACCTGAGGCACCGAATCTGCCACCACCATTTACCGCGTCGTCAGGATACCGACCTGACTACGTGGGGAGTGCCACCACGCAACGACCATCACTTACCACCACATCAGGATACCGACCTGATGATGTGCCGACCCACCACACATTCCACAGTCGCAGAAGTGATGACATGTGTAGCCTCAACCTGATGGAGGTCTCAGACCAAGAAGCTGTGAACCGAGACGGCCTCCTAGTGACCGAACCCTCCTGTAACGACACCGCACAGCGGTGCAAGACGAATCTTGTGCAGGAGTTGTACTGTCAATCAGTAGCCAGCTCTGCCAACCGGTCCACTCACCAGATGATGATGCCGAAACGGAAGCTTGAAACCAGCCAGCCACCCAAATCCGAGACGCGGAGCGATGCTGTCATCGAAGAAACAGCAACCAAACCACCGAAACCGACATCGAATGTGGAGGATACCGCCCTCCAACCCACCTCTGAACATGGTGGAGGAGACCGCTCCATTGGCATACCGGCCATTGGATACTCCACCAACCTGAATGATGATGCCGCCCTCTTCCCTCCTCACCATGAAAGTAGGAAAAAGAGGAAGCTACGTGACGTACTTGAAGGATCTGTGGAAGACATCACCGGACAGAGTCTTGCACAACACCTACCTGCAACCGGACAAAAACCGGCCGTGACAACTGGTGGCTGTGACACTCAGTTCCCAAGCAGGGAAACGGCATACCAGACTGACACCTGGAAGAGCTGCCGTCAGATGATGGAAACGGGACCACAACGATCCGTCAGCAGACTGCACCGCCACAACATTGAGCCTGACTAATCTGACGTCTCATCAAACTAGTCATACGGAGACTAGTAGCACGATTCATCTTTACCGACATTTTTCACAGCACTCGCCATTCACCACGGCATCACCACCAGCA